GGGTCGTGACATTTCTACGACCCTCTTCCACTGTAACGACCCTAAACTTTGGCGGCTGGCCCTTCGCTGCTCATACTTTATCTGAAACTAAATATTATTAAAATAAAATATATAGATAAAAAAGTTCTGCCTCACTTTCGACTCAATTTAACCCTCTACAGAAGTCCGTAATGAACTGTCTACGATGCATGGTTTCCACAGTGTCAGGTTGTCAAAGGACGCCACCTAGAAGATGTGTGACTTTGAGATGTCCCATTTTATGACATGATCATAACACTAAGTATATATTAAAAAATCAACTTCCAACAGAATACCACTATATAACTAAGCAGGTTGTATCTCTAATAGATACCAAGACCCACAGCAGTGGATCACCCAAGTTATAAAAAAGTTTTAAAAGTACAGGATCAAAAGACATGGGTAGAAACAGAGCCTATCACAATCTTGTACTCTTATTAACACTGAGAGAAGTGATGAAGTTTCGACTTCTACGCTGAAGCCTTCTTCAGATCGTTCTCTTTTCATTCAACAGGTAGTTGCAGTCTATTATAGTACTCAAACCTATCATGCCTACTCTTCCTAAAATTCCACTAAAAAAGTTATTGAAATTTAGAACTGATAAATAGATTCTAGTTAAAGAGAACTTTGTGAACCATCAACGTGATGTCAAAATTGTCGACCCATCAATAAAACATACTGCAAGTTTCGTACTCCTAGTCACAGGGGCGAACGAACCCTGCTCTTGGACAACAAATAAATATTAATTCCACGAACCGCCATATCTACTTGCAGGTTAACAAATAAACCAATGTTCTTAGTACACACATGACGTTTACAAAAATGTACTGAATGACCAGTGGTTACGTTTCTTTGCAACTCGTTCCTACACCACTGCTTAGAACAGTGTGAATGGACAAGTATCATAGTGTAAAATAACACTCTGGACAGAATAAATCATTCATATTTTCTTTTACGCTGAGGCGACTAAATACGCTTCCAAAGGCTGTGGCTGTTTGTTCACACCTACACATTTATAGCCAGTTCGATAAAGTATGATATGGTGCTTACGATGTTTAAACTGAAGGATTCAAAGGACAGTATTTCTACATTATAATCTATAATAAGGTGCAAAATACTTATTTTAAAAAAAAGAGACTTAGATATAATGGTGAGGTACACATAAACTTATATTACATAATCAGTAGATACTTTTTAGCTTCTTAAAAACTGGCATGAATATTTACTTGAACTTGTTCGTCATCGAGTTGCAACCCGCGCAGTTTTACGTGTTTGTACACACACACACAGAGACAACTGAAAAAACAAGAAAGGTGACGAAATAACTAAATTAAGACTTTTGGAGATAAATCATCTTAAAAATTTTCAGTTTTACTTTTTTATTTTCTTAGCGACGTTTCGAGCAAAATATTTTTTCAAGCTAGGAGCAGGACTGTCGGTTAACGACCAATTAGTACAGGACGTTCTGAATGAAACACAATACACGACAAAATAATGTTATGAAAGTTACAAACACGAGATTCAAACAATGTACACTTCCCTAACAAGGAAGCACCGTGAACAGAAATGATTGGTTTGGTTTGTTATGAATTTCGCGCAAAGCTACACAAGGGCTATCTGTGCTAGTTGTCCCTAAGTTAGCAGTGAAAGACTAGAAGGAAGGCAGCCAGTCATCACTTGGGCTACTCTTTTACCAACAAATAGTGGGATTGGCCGTAACTTTATAAAGCCCCACGGCTGAAAGGCCAAGCATGTTTGGTGGTACAGGGATTCGAACCAGTGACCCGCAAACTGCGAGTCGAGCTCCCTAACCATCTGATCATGCCAGACCGAACAGAAACGAATCCCCCTAAGAAAATACTAGCAGAGTGTAAGAGTCAAACAAGCAAAAGTTATGCATTTTTTTCTATAACCACACAACATTGCACGCCTTTTTCAACCCACTTACGCTCACATACCAGACATACCTAGTATTATGCTACACTCAAACTGATGTTTGCATTAGATACCTAACAGTTGGAAGAAAGAAACTGTTTTGGTCTTATGCTCAGGGTCAAGGTCGTTACGTTATTATAATTATATACAATTATATAAATGCTTTCAACTCACCTACAGCTCACGCTACACTTATCAGACATTAATTAAATGATTAATTGAAGCATGCATATGATAACTTATTATGACAGAAAGGGAACTATTTGGTTTTGATTAAGTTTACACTCAAGTAAACATATATGTTATCAATATAAAAATAATATAATAGGTAAAAAAAAAGGTGTTCAAGTTCTAAAATAAGTAAAAACAAAGTCGTGACATCATAATGAAATGTCAAATTAGATTACATATTGCAATATCAGAACTTTCATGATCAACAAGTCTTGACAGAAATGAATAGAAACCCTATAACCCGAGCGCATGCCAAAGGTGGACCTGTTTGCCCCTGAAGAAGAAAGGTCCACCTTTCGATAGCGCTCGGGAGATAGGGTTTTTATTCATTACTATCATAACTTTGATAGATTTTAACTTCTGTTTTCTTTTTCTAACTTGGCCACCTTTTTTACGAATAATGTTTTTGTGGCGATAGTGTAAAACTGATTAGAAATACCCTTTTTTTTAATCAAGACACATGGTAGTGTTTCGTGCAGCTAAAACAGCCTGCAAGGCACACTGTGTGTTATTAACAGGAGTGATAGTTTAGCAATTTTCCATTTTCTATAGCTCGGAGTGGAGTAATCCAAAATATCACATATTTTTAATTGATGTGCTCTACTTTACCCTTACTTGACATACCAAATTTCAAGGCAATTCATTAAGAAATACCTGAGATATAAAATCTCCAATTTTGATTGAATTTCTTTCTATTTTTTTCTTCGCACCGAAAGTACGAACATTTATTTCATATAAAAACAACATACTTAACTTTCATGCATTTTTTTTTTCAAGTTTGGTACACTAGTAGATCTTTACAACCTACAATTAGTTGTCAAATTTGATCTGAATATGAGCCACATGTGCAAAGTTACTGAACAAAAACCTATCAATTTTTACGAAACATTTTGCGCACGCCCACGCAAAAAAGTCATGTGAGCTATCGGTTTGAAACTTTTACTACAGCTTCAGCTAAGAGTAAAGGTGGACCATTTCTAATTTCTTGTCATTCGAATTAAATGCGGCTGATTTACAGGTGAAAGCACGTGCAGATACACAAGTACTGGTTAGGCCAAGCAAACTAGATTAGCAGTTTCTAGCTCAAGTTGTCAAAAGAATCATATGAGTTGACAGTTATTATCGATTATTCATTGCCAACTTTTAAGCACAAATTTGCTAAATTTTATAAAATTCTCCTAATTAAAGAGCGTTTAGCGTCACATGATATTAGAGTAAATGATGATGCTTGACACGGCTGTACCGAGTGCATACAGGTGATGAAAAAGAAACTGTTAATCTAATTTTCATAGCGTTACTATAAAGGAAGTTGTTAAAACTGGTTTAGAGAGAGAGAAAAAACTACCACCACATATATTAAATAATCTAATTGATTCCGTAAAGTAAATGTCTGTTACAATAATAGGGTTGCGATCCTAAAACTAATGTGGGTTACTAGTGAGTGTCACTTTCTTACTTGCTGGGGTTTGTTGATGTGTATTAACAACACGTCACTATATCTAATCAAATATACCTTAGGTGTGAAAAAAGTGCGTCCAAAAATGGACTGAGTGTGGGACTTAAAGGAACGGAATTAAAATTGGTGCACAAACTGGTAGCTACACTTATAGCATTGATAAGAAGTTTACAGTAAATATTCATTCATTAGTTTGTTAAGCCGCATATTTTGTTTTACCCACCATCATGCCCCAAATTGAACAAAAAACGCGGCCTGCCTCACTAATGAATGAATATTTGTTATAAAATTCTTATAAATTCTATAAGTGTAGCTACCAGTTTGGCCGCCAATTGTGATTTCATTCCTTGTAAGTTGCACACTCAATCCTTTTTTGGCCACACATTTTTTTCACACCTAAGGTGTTTTTGATTAGATAATATATAACTCCACCAAATGTTGAATGCTTAAAAAAATTTTACTTGTAATTCTTACATGGGTGTGTTAACCTTCTCAAAACAGGAAATATTTGTTCAGAAGTGTCATTGTAAACTAATACGTACTTGGCCACACTAAAGACACAGATCAACATGTTTCATAAAACCAAATGATAACCAGAACCATTTCTTTTCCAGTTTCACAATACACCCTTCTTCGTTGCATGTTTAATAACTTTTCAATGTTTCAGTATGGGTAGAAATTAATTAAAGTTTAACATTTTGCTGGGTTGTTAAGAAATGTTTATGACACCCTTCTCTACTGCTTGATTAATTACTTTTCAATGTTTGAGTATGGGTAAAAATTAATTAAAGTTTAATATTTTACTGGGTTGTTAAGAAATGTTTATGACACCCTTCTCTACTGCTTGATTAATTACTTTTCAATGTTTGAGTATGGGTAAAACTTAATTAAAGTTTAACATTTTACTGGGTTGTTAAGAAATGTTTATGACACCCTTCTCTACTGCTTGATTAATTACTTTTCAATGTTTGAGTATGGGTAAAAATTAATTAAAGTTTAACATTTTACTGGGTTGTTAAGAAATGTTTATGACACCCTTCTCTACTGCTTGATTAATTACTTTTCAATGTTTGAGTATGGGTAAAAATTAATTAAAGTTTAACATTTTACTGGGTTGTTAAGAAATGTTTATGGCATATTATTACAACTTAGATGAAAAGCTGTAGCATTATGTATGCTTTAACTTGTTTGTATGCTGCTACCAGTGTCACGCTGTTTATACAAGTTAAACAGTGCTGTGAATGGCTGTTGGTAAAATGTAGAGCCTAATCAGTTCATGAATTAATTTTTAAATAATCAATAAGTATACATCATACAAACACAAACTACATTTCAACTTTTATTTAAAAACTATATCCGTTTATTTACTTTTGTTTCAGTGTGGAGGGATAGAAAACAAATACCAGACCTTAACCATGCCTTTTGACTACAACTTGAAGTAAAATATAAATCAAAAAATTTAGAATATGGTTTCCTATTTAAAAAGAAACAAAATGTACCATCTAATAAACAGTATTAAACTCTATTAATGTTAAGTTGATTGACTGCAAACTATCTGAAACAATCTTAATACAACTTTCTAACACATCAAATAAATACAGCAACATAAACAATCTGTACAAAGTAGCCAACAAAAATATTTACATTAAAACCATCTAGATGTCACTTGAATTTTGAGACTTTTTTTGTTAAAAACAAACTAAATACACATGCTATAATATGCATACCTCTGTTAAAGTGGTCACAAGGGCATATCAAAGGATGTAAAACTACATATATATGCTTATTTATAAGAAAAATATGCATACAGAATTCATTTTATTTCAATGAGTCATAGGCCTCTGCAGCATTAAAATTTTTATTTTTTTAACCATAATATATGTACTATATATACACGTGTTTAGCTAAATATGGTTCGTCTTAAAATTCACCACAAACAAAGATGACAATGGTCAGTTTAATACTACTTTAAAGATATTGATGTATGGCCAAATAATTCACATCTGAACTCTGAAATGGAACAAAAATGAAGAAGCCTGCATATGTACTTGAATATGTTATGTTCAGTTTTCATTATACAAAAGATAGCATCTTCTAAAAAGGATGCAGAGAATGACTATCCAAATAATAATATAATCTGACAAACCTAAGCTATGGGCAAGTTTTGAATATTACCATTATTTTATGATGGACTACAGAATAGCCAGAGGTGAATCAATGAAGATTTTCCAAATTGTTAGGGGCTTAAATAAGCTGCCTTTTAGAAATATCCTTTTGATTACTAGGATGAAAGAGTTAATAACAGAATTAGAATGCCAGACATAGATGGTGCAAGTTTTGGAAACCTAGACCCAGATTTGTTCTTATACATTATTGACTTGTGGAATAGTTCATCTGAATATTTACTTTTGGGGAGGATGGCATTTGATTTTCAGCATTTCAGCATTTAGGATGACCTTGATAAATAAAATGGCCTTCCATCAACTTGAATTTTATTGTGACTTTTTTGTGTGCTGTGAAAAATATTTTCAAGCAAAATTCAAACGATATTTAGTAAAATAAAATCTCAAAAATAAATCAGCATAATCTACATAGTATCAAGTTAGTTGTTTTTCACTTATCCCAAAATGCTAACTAGATCTAACAATAATCCTGACATTTTACTTGCTAGCCACACTAACATACCAGAAAACCGGTTTAGAAATAATGTACTGTAAATATAAATTACAACAGCAAGACAAATGTATACATTCAAAAATGTATTCATGTGTGTATTTAATTTAACTTTACAGTCAGAAAACTATGCACCATCATAAAGTTTGCAGCATGGATGATAAACGTTACACCATAACAAATAATTAAAATAATTTGTCTTCGAGCATATGTACATGTTAATATGACTCACCATATAAAAACTTTGGAGCTTGTGAAATCTGTTTAAACACTACCAAGAAATAATATAATTGATTACAGAAAATCAATTTGACCAATTCTTGCTCATAATGCATGGCATGAAGCTTTTCTAAACAATAATGTAATACATTTATATATTTTTTACAAACTTTGCTCTTAAAATAAAGCAAAATGAATCTAATTTCATTCAATTTTCTTATAAGGCCTTTGTCAAATCTTTCCTTTGTTTATGCATATTAAAATAATTCTTGTGATTTCCATTTTGTGTATTTTATTCACTATACACAACAGTGCTATACAAAATCTACACACACATTTTTTTCTTCTTTACCACTGCATTCTCATTTTACAAAGCAGGGTTTAGATTTATTAAAACAGTGGATATAATAATAAACTATTATTTTTCGGGCAACATTGATATTTTAGTAACTTTCTTTGCCTAAGAACAATAGTAACATAAACAATAGTCTCAATAAAATTGTAGTAGTGAAATATTACCTACGTTGTTACTTTTATTGTACTTGTACTGCACCAAATGTTCCTAATTGAAGTCATCTCAAGCTGTTCTTTCACAAGAATAAATCCATCTTCTGAATTCCATCACTATAATAACTTGTCTAGGTAAAAACCCGACTTTTCACTAGGTATTTCATGATAGCATTCCACTGATAAGGATTATCTGTAGCTATTGTTATTATACCCTCTTCTAAATCTTGGGTTCAAGTGTTCTTCTCTGGAAAAGTGGCTCCATCTGTCAGTGTGTTCCCAAGCTATTCTGTAATCACTGTCCTGAACATGAAACTTAGTTCTTTCTGAAGATGAATCACTAGATTGCACTTCTCTTCTGTAAAACTGGTCAAAAGGATAAGAATGACTGACCTGGTCATTACTGACTGATCCTGAAGTGCTACTATTACTTCTTTCTGTGTGCAGAAACCTGGAAATGCTGAACTGGTTTTTAGGTGTCTTATGTTGGTACCAGGTATCTTGACTTTTTGTTTCTACATGTGATTCATTCAAAAAACCATTTTTTTGCATCACTTCCTGAGATTTGGTTTGGAATGGTCCTGTTAATGAATTATTTGGTAAAGTTAATCTTTCATAGTTGTTGGTTTTAACAAGAGGGCCATTGTGTGACCACATATTTGCATAAATACTGTTTGAAGATTTCATTTCTTGGACATGTTTTGCTTGTTGTGAATGTAGTTCATCACACATTCTTACAGATCTTTCTGGATGTTGAATTGGAAATGAGTTTGTCCTACAATTCTTAGTCACTACAAGCTCTTCAAGATCCTTGGAATTTTCTCTAGGCCGATCGTCCACATTCTTCTGTTCATGGTGTACTTTTGGAATATAGTTTAGTTTTGGTGCAGTATAAGACTTAGGAGATTTCTTAGCAATCCAATTTCTTAAAACGTGCAGTGTTTTTCTAGCTGGTTTGTCACCAGTTTCTGAATTGTCTGATTTTTCTGAAACCTGCTGTGCTACCTTGTTAATTGCATCCATAAGCTTATGTAAATGGGGAGGAAGTGTGGAACTATATTTTGAGAACACATCTTGAGTAACTGTGTTGTTTGTCTGGGAAGATAAGCTGGAATATGAAGTGCTAGGATGTACTGTGTTTTCATTTTGGTTGGTAAAGCTTTGTATAGGCTGACCAGAACCAGAAGCCACTGGTCTAATGGATGGGTTAAAACTAGAAGAAGCTGTCTTAGAAATTAGCTTTTTACCAGTAGAATTTAATACTTGTTTGGGCAAACTCAATATAACTGAACAAGAAGATAAATCATCCTCAATCACAGAGTCAGTGATTTTTTTTGGTGACTTTGACAAAGATGGACAGGAAGATGAGTAAGCTTTATCAACATTAGAATTTGATTTTGTCTTACTGTTGCTGTTTTGCTCTGAATCTAAAATCTCTAGAGGTAAGGATTTAACTTTGCTAACCACTTTTGTTTTCTTTTTAAGCTGAGATTCAGCATATTCATTCATACTGATTTTCAAAGGCTTTTCACTTGAAATATCTTGTTTTGCTACAAAGCTTGGTGTCATATCCACATTCAAGCATTTACCTGCTATGAATTCTTGTCCATTTTCTACAGATTTGATGTTTTCAACTTTACAAGTCTCATCAACAGAAGCATTAAACTCATGAAGTACTTGACGTCGTAACTCTTGTCTGTAAGAAAAATCATTCTCCTCTGGATCATACGGAGCATCAGCACTGTCTCTTATTCCTGAGGCATTGGCGGATATAACCTGGAGACTTTCAGAGGTTTTACTTTTAGTAAGTGCTGGTTGAGAAATTGTGTGTTTCTCCAACTGCCAAAGAGATTCAGGCCCATTACTAGATATCTTTACACATTGTTTGTTATTAAGAGATGAAGATTCTGGGATTGGATGGGAAGATTTCCTAACAATGCTAACAGGTGTATCAACAGAATTATTCTTCAAAGAAATGTTAACTGAAGGAGATGACACCTGTTGTAAAGGGCTGAAAGAGGAAAGTAATCAGTATATATAATTAAATCTAATATGCTTAACCATAAATACAGACTCAGTAGTATATGAAAATTAACAGAAACTTTCATCCTGCATACTAAATACTATTAAATTAATCACTGCAGTACCTAAGTACTATTATGTCACCATAAGTACAGGAATAAGATAAACTGGAAATCCATTAACAACAAAGATAAATGCAGTTCAAATGGTTTAAAAAAGATAGAGTTTACTAAATGATAAGACATAAAAAATTTTTTTGTTTAAATTTAGCTCCTTTATTTGACATGTTATTTAATTACATTTAATATAATAAAATATAATAAGGCCAAAAAATTATATTTTCAGAATGAAAACATGTTACATACTGCACAGTCCTAGTTTATCATCTAATCAGATTTGGTTTGTTATACTGATCTGTAATTCGGTAGTAAAAAAAAGATATCATACAATATTAAATCTTTGATTTAATGATGTTTTTTATTTTTTAAATAATTAATTTTAAGTTTAGTACAGAAAAGTAAATTTTAGTTTAAAAATGTTCAAATATAATAAAAGATAATTTATCTCAGAACTTCATTTAAGAAAATTATTTTTATTTTTCCTTATTTGTCACTTCTACTGACAAATGGGCAAAATCATATGTTCAGACTCAATGAAAAATACTTTTATGTCATCAAAATTTAGTTTCTTTTATATACACATATTGCTTATTGTTATATTTCTTACTAATCAAATACACAATTCTAGTTTCTAAAAAGAAATATTTAGGTTTTCAGAGTTAAAAGTGACAGATATTACATACCACATAGTTCCTGGAGTCGAAGAAATTTTTTTTAATGGATTCTTATGTCTTACAATTAAACCAAGCAGCAGATTAGGCCTAGGATTCTGTAACCCTGTAAAACAGCAACAGTTGTGGAAATGAGTCAGTCATATTAAGAATGAAATTCTGAAATCAGCTCTTTCCTTAAAAATATCTTTGAGTTGGTCCTAAAACTTGACTTTTGATGCTTATTGAGCAGAAATAATCAAAATTTTAACTCTGTTAAAAACACATTCATATCTAATAAAAGATTATTTTAAAATACTGTTTTAACTTTTTTCTTGTATCTCATTTCTACTGGAAAGTGAACAGAAAAATACATATTGGACTAATGGTAATATCACTATTGCAAAAGCTACATTTGAGAATATTACAATGTATTTTCCATACTAGATATGAATAATTTTATTATTTTGTTTACCAGAAAAATAAAGAAACCTTTTATTTTAAATTATATTACTGTTATTACATATCACATAATTATTCAGTTCTGTTCATATTGTAAAAAGTCAAAAATTGAGAACTGTTGCTTTTCCCAAAGAATTATCAAAGTTTTCTAAAAACTGTCACAGAAACAATTTTATATTTCTAACTTATCATAGTTGAATTTTTAATATGATTGTTTCTTCTAAGATAAATTATTAACACTATTCATTATCCAATTTCACATCTCTAAATTTCAAAATATTTTTTCATAAACATTTTAATAAAAAACTGTACAGTTACAGTCTTTTATTTTTGAAACGATTAATATTTAATAAAGTTTAGAAAGAACTAAACTTAATGTAAAGTTCTTTTTATGACATTGAAACATAGAGGTTTCTAAAATACTTCTTTTTACTAGTTTTGTAGTTGTGTTTCCTACTCCTTAAACACACAACCTTAGTTTATCTCTCATGATAGAGGTTCAGGTTTTTGATACTAAGAATAGTATAGAGCAAATAAACTGATATCTTGAGAAATGTTGTCCCCTATCTTCTCTTTACATGCTTTCCAAAGCCATCAACCATGCACAGATATTCACTTCTGAGGGCCTGTTTCAGAAATCTGAAAGCGAAGAAGTTAACGGGATATGTCTGTAAATGGTATAGCATGAATTTCCATTTATATTTGCATCTTGCAGAAAATTGGCATGTTGAACTGTATGATTCTTCTTGGAATCGCAATATCTTACTAGCATTCAGTGCAAACAAAGTGACTGATTCATCATAATGATATCAGCAAGCTAGCCTGATAGTGTGGAGGCTGACTTTGGTATTTCTCTCACTTCTCTAGACATTTAACTTACGGAAATAATTATAACTTGATACCACCATAAGTCTTTGAGAAAAATGTTTTGAGAGTTTTGAATTTTTTTTATCACTGGCTCAAACAGGCAATTAACATGAGTAAACATTATCCAAAGTCACAAATTAAATACAGTTTTCAATGTCTGGTCTTCCATTCTGCTATGTGCTGTGGGAGGAACTTGTGAACAACATTGCTATTGTGTCACCTTTGAAGAAATAACTCTGCATGAATTATCCAATTCACAGTTTTAATGGTGGTTCCTACTTGAGAGCTGCAGTGGATTGCTGTACTCTTGGAATACCTCCAGTAGCAAGCTGTTGAATTCCTTCATTACCTTTGGTGTGTGACAGGTTATGGAATAGCTCATTTTTCCCTACTGTAATCACAACTTCCCTTGCATTATCAGTATGGTTCGATATTACAGATACTTTTAGAATCTAAAATTTCATGCCTATCTTGTAAGCATTGTCCTAAAATAGGAAACTTCATACTGGAAAGTCATGTTCTGTAACCATTCCAGAATGATTCGAGTTTAGGTGCCTTCTACAATTGCAAATCACCACACTTCAACTGAACTTGATATGATAGATTGTGAACCACCCTCAACTAGATAAATTAATTTGAGTTGGCTAAGTTTCCCTTTGCTTGTTTAAGAGCTAAGCTGCAAAATAGGCTGGCTCTTATGTATCCAATATAGGGATTTGAACTTTTAATTTCAGCATTATAAGGCCTAAACGTTACTATCAAGTCACTTGGGACAGTTAAGTTTCTACTGTTTGGAGATGTCAGAAATGCTTTAGTGAGTTTATTGTGACATTTATTTAATTATTTATTGAATAATGTATAATTATTATTATTATTCTGGGTAATATAATCTATAATCAGTAATTAATGAAAGCAAACATTCTAAGTCAAATTTCAACATCAATATTTACTTAAAATTAATAACCAATTTCAGACATAATTTCTAAAATCCATTACATTATAAAAAGAAATAAAATTAGATATTATTTTACCAATTACTGTTTATATCATAATGGAAAATATTATAATACTTACCAGGACCATTGAATGGCAACAAAACTGATGGTATTGGTTGATCTGCTGGCAAAGGGAGAATGTAAAAATCTTTCACCATCTTAGAAGTGTGTCCAATCACACCCAAACGCTTCCGTGAAAAAAGATAGTGGTAGAAAGCACTATATGAAACCATTTCCTCTTTATTAGCAGGGTAGAAACTAACCACAATCAACTCCTATAGATGATTTAAAAAAGAAAAAGAAAATATAATACATAAAACACTGGTTAAATTTAAACTTTGTTACCATAAATGAAATAGAGAAAATAATAATATATAACTCAGCATATGTGCAAAAACACATACAAATTTACGGTAAAAATGAAATCTGTCAGAATGCTAAAGATCCTTCTTTGACTTTTGGGCTGTGATGGTAAAAATTCATTCTAATACAGTCAAAATGTGACAAAATATATTATTAACAAGATCCTTTCTGGAGGTGACAAGATGAGTAAAAGCACAAAAAAATTAGAAGAATCTGGATTTTACATTTAATTAAAATCTAATTTGACAAAAAGATAAAATTGCTGAGGCTTTTTAACCATGGCAATGGTGCACACAATTTCCACAAAAAACTGTTTTACTTCTGGCTATATAATACTGAGCACTCATTCTGTCAAAGAAATTATTTAAAATACTTGTTAAAGCAGCAGGCACATTTGTAAGTTCACATATAGGATATATGTGAATTTCAAACACAAAGCTTTGAAGTTTATAATATCATACTGTAGTTTTTATGACCCTTCTCAGTCACATTTTTAAATTTCCAATCCATGAATTATTTAAAACCATAATGAAGACACACAACACTACTCATATATTGGCTATAGCTTAGGGAGTTTTTTTTCATATTCATACAAAGTTACTATTCAAGAGCTAGAGGGCCTAAAGGGGAAAGCAGCAAGTCAACAGCACCCACTCTTGTCTGACCAAATAGTGGAATTTGACCATCACCCTTATGGCCCCAAAGTAAAAAGAACTTTATTTTTGTAGTAGCAGAGTGCAAATGATAGACCCACCAATCCACAGTCGAGCATGCTAACCATTGGGAAATGTTCATCCCAATCTAGAGAGTAACTTACCTGGCTATCATAATGAATTTGCAAAGCCTAAATTCATGTCTGTAATTCAAAATGTATCATTGCACAACTAACATAATGACATGGTTTTAATGTTGTGTGTTTATTTTACCTACATGATAAAGGCTTTTGCATACTCAGTTGTTATTGATTTGAGTTTTTATGCTAATCTAGAATTTGGTTTTAAGTTCTGATTTTTTAATTTCACTAGTTCCACATAACATGGGATTCTTGTTTTGTAAATTCCAAATGATTTGGTTTTGTATCCAGATTTAGTGTTTAATCAATTCATAATGAATTAGTTTCTTCCTTACTTCATATTGTACGAATAAGTTTTATGTTTTAGCTATATTTAAGAAGTTTTGGGTCTTTGCATATATCCCAACAAACAAGTCTGGTATTAATGTTGTGTTTTAGAAATATCTTATTTTATATATCAATTTTAATGTGCATGTTATATTAAAATAATTTTGAATAGGAAAATCTGCAAGTAACATGACAGCCACAGCTTATATACAGTCTCATGATGAAATGCATGTATCAGAACTACATTTTGGCATTTGTAAGGTATGTGTGATGGCACTAAAAATTTACTGCTCTTAGGAATAGCATGTCACAGTACTTTCTGACACAAAATATTCATACACTCAGATCATAAAGATATTATCAGACCAGAGTGGAAAACAAAGGAATATGGATTAACTTGGAACACCAGGACCACCCAGAAGAGACTTTAAACAAGTCATACCACAATGGTAATAAACAAAGTGCAGCAACTTGTAACAGGTAAAAACCCCCAAACATAAAAATCAGTGGAAATATTTAACTAAATATTTAACCATGAAAATCCATATAAACTTATTAAATATTAACTAATTTAGCTTAAAACAATCCTTATGATTTGATTTAGATTTCTGTAATTTTTAGACAGTGAACTTTTCAAAATGTTGTTATGAGACACAGTTTTGAAAAAAAAACACTAAAAATACTCACTTTTATCTTTGAATTTATATACTTTATTGTTGACCAGAAAGTTTCATTTTATATATCCAGCTAGTTTTAAATAGATTAGTATTCATTAACAAATTAATTTGCATACTTTATTTTGCAAACTGCAGTAGCCACCACTTCCAGCTATAAATCATAAAAACTATCTGAAAAACTGACAAGGATTCACTGACAATCTAGAACCTTACCTTTCCAAATGACATCACCTTACCTCTGTCAAGCTAAATAATGTGATTTTGACTTTTTGCTAAAATTATTTGTGGTCAAGAGGAATTTATACCAAATAAGCAATAAGTTCTTTTATTTGTGTGCACTTTTTAAATACAATAAGCTTAACAATTACATTCAATAAATAAAGATTTGTGTTACCAGAATATTCTAAATTCACTAAATGTAACTAAGGTTACCTGATGTATTGTCACAGATGAAAATTTCAGTAGCTTTCAAACAGATATAATTTAACACAAAAAACATTTTCATTTTCATTCTTTGTTGGTTGTTTTATTACCACAACCCTGTCATTCACACCCTATTATGATGTCACAGCATGTGGTACAACTAACAAAGCACAGTTCTTAAAGTAGTTATAAACAACATTTAAATTCAGTTGTATAGAGCTGGCTGTAAAGTACTGTTTTCAGTGTTGAGTAGATAAAGTTTAGAAGACTTGGGAACAAACCACAGATTTGAGAATGTTTTTATAGTTTTTTGTGTTCTTTTTTTGCTTCTTAAGTGAGAAACAAGACATTCTCAAAGAATGATAGTTGCTTAGCAAATATAAACCTACACTTTGGGATGGGCAGAATTTTTTTTTTTAATTTATGCATATGCCTTTTACAGACAGACTCAGAAAAAATTTTTTCATTTTTATTTGCCATTTATACTGAATAAGTGTTGAAAATTTACAAAATATCAATCTGAAAATATTTTAGAATTAGAAATTGTTGAAATATAGTTAAAATTAAAATTTTATTTAAATTTTAAAATCTGATATTCAGCTGTGCATCCAACAATTGAAGGGTGCTGATTGGTCATGACAAGGTTAAAGGTTACCATTATTTTCTACTCAAAATCATATAAAGATGCGAGTTTTTTCATTTTACCTTAGTTGCTAGTGGCTTGGTCTTCCCTAAGTAGCTCCACACTTGGTCAGGGGCAATTCGACCACAAACGTACAAAGTATTTGGCATATCCTGTATATAGGAAGTCAATATAATTGCTTACAGTGACATGGTTTTCTCTCACAAAGGACAATTTACATGATAATAAACAAACAAAGTAAAAACTGAGAAAAACTATCCTTTCCAAACCAAAATAATATTATTTCAGGATAAATAAGTAAACAATAACATAACTTTTAAATTGCACTATTTGGTAAGGGAAAACCAATGTAATGTGATAATAGTGGCCATGCATTAAAGCTTAATTTAGTGGAGGGTATTATATCACCACATAAAATAAATATAAATCTAAAATATGTCAGATATATTTTAATAACAACTATGATTAATACTCACAGCATATATTTAATAAGTAATCATAATATCTTTTCAGTTTATCTTAATGAGTTTGGTTTACATGGTCATAAATACATTTATCATCACATAAAACTAACTGAAATAAGCTTTATTCATATTTAAAACTTCTTGCATCAATATGGTTATATGTATTGGACAGATTAACAGCACCACATACATACAACTTAATCATTTTTGAAGGAAATTATTGATTGACAAGATGTAAACATATCTGTAAAACAAAGAGTAGGGTTTTATTAAATCTATAGGTAAAAAAATGTTAATAAATTTTGAATCTTGTAGAAACAGCACAGTATATTATTTTAATGTGAGACATTTCAGACTTTGATAACTAAGGAGATATGATGATAATTTACTGATTTAAATCAAACTATCATTTTTGGTATTATTTGATGCAAAAATAGAATAGTCTATTATGTATGATATTCTAGTAATGCACTTTTGGACTTCACTCCAAAAGTGTTTATCCCAAAATATAACAAATTAAAACACAGTAACTAATGTCAGCGATACCCTCAATATGTATCTTAGTACACAACCTCTAACTATTTGTAGGCTGCTACAAAAGTAAGAATACAATAAAAACAAATTACTAAGCTATTTTTTGTATCTATTTATAACTTTTAAAAATTATCTTATATGGAGGGTGTTTTAATATTGATCAAAACATTTTTCTATAAACCCTCACTTTTTATTTTTTTTTTACTTATTACATATATATATATATATACATAAAACCTTCCAAATATACCTAGGAATGGTGTTTAATGATGATATTAATCTTTTTTTTTATTTGCTAAAGTTGCAACATCTATGATAGTTGTGCCTGAACCACTAAAGACTGAGGGAAAAAAAACATTATTTTTGTTTTATTTAGTAAAAGGATTCATTAATAGAAATACAAAAACTTTCCAGGTTTATTAGAAAATAATCTTAAAAATAGTACTAGACAAAGTGAGCAGTTAAAAAAAAAAGTCAAGGTTTATCATCAAAGCATAAAATCAAGTATTATATAAAAATTTAATCCAAAATTAATACCTCACACAACCACTACAATAAACATAGAAACATACATAAAAAAAACAGAAAGGAGGATGAAAAGACAAAAGAAAAAAAAGACTCGCAGCTTTCAATCTGTTAAAGGAAACAAATACTAATTGCCTGTGTATTAATGTACAATTTACAAAAACAAACTTTAACAAAATAAATATCTTTCTGATTCAGCAGATCTAAAGCCAAAACATATTTCTACAATATCTACAAATCTGGGATTAATTATACAAAATATTTATATAACAGATGTTGTTCAAATTTACCTGAGATACATAGTCCTTTGAGCCAGATACAATGTAACCAAAGTTGACAAACCGTGCCACTTCTTCCATAAATATAAACCCTTTCCATCCCCATGAAGGAGTCTTTGACAGCTTCAAGTGAGATGTTTGTTTTTCTGTGACAGATGTCTCCAATGGCACTGAATTGGATAAATCTTTACCCCCCGAGGCTTGATTGTTGGTAGTAATTGTCTTCATAGTTCTCAAAATTACCCTGAACATAAGTAGTTTGTTAGGAATAATTAAATACTATAGAATTCATAAGTTTTCATGACATGTATGTTAAAAATAAATTGGAAAAATATTAACTTAATATAGATAATGTAAAACAATCTAAACCTACCTGATAAAAGAGATGAATGTGAAACCAGATTTTGTACAATAAACACAAAAAAAATTCACAAAGTACTGAGATACATATATTATCTATTTTGTAGAATCTACATAAAAAAATATTCTATATTTCAACTTAATTACCTGTATACATCTTATAAATTATCAAATGAATAATTTCTCAAATAACTTTCACTTCCACTGAAATGACTTAACATACCCTGTAGTGAAAGTTGGAGAGGTTTTCTCGACAGGTTTCATTTCACAGTAAACAGAGTTGTCAGTTTCTCTTTGCTCAATTTTCCTTTTCTCTTCAACAGCTGGATTTAAAACAACTGTGTCAAGATTCTTTTCTTGGTTTTTATCTGATGGAAAGTTTGATGTTACAGATTCAGTCTTAACTGAGTTGACTACTGCTTCATTACTATCCAACATTATTTTGTTAACATATTCAGAGTCTGTTAGGCATGTATCTTTACCGAGGTTTTTCAGACTAGTGTTTTGTGATTGCCCAGTAACTGCCGAACATTTTTCTTGCAGTGGCTCAGCAGTTGTCTTAGCCAGATATTTTATGTTTGAGTTTGTCCTATCTTCCATGCCTATTAAAATCTTCTTTTTATTGGGTGATTCCTCCTTTGGAGGAGGGATCTTACCAGTACAAATTTGACACTTAAGATCAAACAAGTGGGAGTGATGTTGATCAGTAGTATCAATCAGCATTCCAAATGACTGAAGAAATAAACTTCCTTGGTCTATCTGCTTTTTTGGAGACTGTTGAGGGATAAAAAACATAAAATACAAGCTTATTTCAAATTCTTGAAATTGTGTATTTCTCAACACAAAAACTAGTTAACAATAACTGAAAATAAGATAAGATATGCAAGGTGTGACAGTTAAGGCAAAATTATTTTTGTTTTATGATTTTGTGTGAATTTTAGTGACCTGTGTTTCCAGAGTTTCAAAATTTAAAACAAATTCTTTAATTTTAGATTTTTCAATGAATTTATGAAGCCCTGTAATTATCAATAACCTAGATATCAATAATATTTTAACCATTACATTTCTAACTAGTGTAACAAATTTAAATATTTATAAACTATCAAAAGCAATTGTTAACCATTTTATCAAATTAGGCAATATGTGTGGAGAAACTTGTCTTGTGCAAAGCAATCAAAATCCTTCAAAAGTCTTGATTTGACATTTAATCCTTAAATTAATATTTTTCCTTACATGATAATAAAATCCTTTATATATACAATTTTCCTGAAGTTTATCTTTTTGGAGCATTTTGTTTTAGGATAAAGATGTACATGAAGGCAAAAGTGGTGTCTTTTATAGCCTATGATAAGGTAGCAACCCTAGTGGAGTTGCAGAAAGTCTAAACCGGGGTTGCAAACATTTTATAAAATATTTTTTCTGTAAAATTCACAGACAAAAAAATAGCAATTTTTTATATCATTTTATCTAACAAAAATAAAATAATTAAAATTCTTTATAAATCATCACATTTTAATACCTTTGAAAACAGGAATTTTTCCTTACTAGTGACAACAAAAGATAAAGGATACAGCACCAAAATGAATTATTAAATCATAAAAATTCTATCGCATTGACTGAAAAATGTGGACTAAGACCAACAAGTCCAAAATCATGTTTAAAACAAGCACATGGTTTACATTAAAAATGTAAGTCACACTTCTATTTCCACAACTTTCAGACAACGTACTAGAATATTCATAATTTAGTACTTCAATGTGTAGTTGATGTATCCTAATCAATTTTACCAATGAAAAGTTTAATAAAGTATTATCAATACAATTTAGATTTTTTTGTATGTATGGTTGCTGTGAAGGTGGTATTTCTTGGGCTCTTGGCAAAGGGTTACGCACAAAAATTTTGAGAACCACTCCTTACCTTAAATAATATGAAAGCATTTATAATTTTTTGCACAAAACTGCTTCAGAATAAACTTTTGTTTGAAGCATTACCCCCAGTATGATTCTATTTTATATAACAGCTATAAATAAAAATTGTGAATACCATACAAATTTTGAAAAACAGAAAATACATAAAGTTTCCTGATAGAAACTAGTTTCAAATTTTAAATATTTATAACATACTAGTTGTTTTGATATTTTTACATATTTAACTTTAAACTTACTGTAAACATCTCCCTAAACTCAAACAAAGGATCCCCTTTCTTTTTATCAAGTTCATTGATAAATAAGAAATATAAATTTAATTTTATTACTTAATGGCAAGTTACATTATACATTTAGCATAATAGTAAATTATAATAGGCTTAATATTTATGATCATAACAAGTTTAGTTAAAAATCTATGGGAATGGTAAGTTGAAGTTTTACATTTGCATTTCTATCAGTAATAATTACAAGTGATCAATGAAAACTATCTAGTTTCTTATCATTTTTTGAAGAGAATAAGTGGCACATTGGCAAATCAGAACCATAAAGAATATATTTTATGCCGACAAATGATCCTAAGAGAATAGACTTTGTTTCCAAAGAAATGAAAATTGAGACTGAACAGAAACTGAATCCAAAACAATCAGTCATAATATTATAAGATGTGAAAAAATTAAGAGAAATTATTTTGTTTGGTTTTGTTTTATTTCACATTGCACACAAAGCTACAGGAGGGCTATCTCGCTAGCTGTCCCTAATTTAGCAGTGATAGACTAGAGGGAAGGCAGCTAGTTAACACCACCAACTCTTGGGCTACTCTTTTACCAACAAATAGTGGGATTGATTATCACATATAATGCTCCATGGCTGAAAGGACAAGCATGTTCAGTGACACAGAATTATTTTGTTTAAACTAAAATCATCAGACTGCACCTGTATTGTTCAAGTATAAACTGTGATAATACCAGTAAGACAAGTGCTATAATGCTCCACGGCTGAAAGGACAAGCACATTCTGTGACACAGAATTATTTTGTTTAAACTATAAAATCATCAGACTGCACCTGTATTGTTCAAGTATAAACTGTGATAATACTAGTAACACAAGTGCTATAATGCTCCACAGCTGAAAGGACAAGCACGTTCTGTGACACAGAATTATTTTGTTTAAACTATAAAATAATCAGACTGCACTTGTATTGTTCAAGTATAAACTGTGATAATACTAGTAAGACAAGTGCTAATTGCTGCTGTAATCCGCTTGATAATGAAGTTGAGTCTGGAAATTAAGATAGCTAATACTACGTACCTAATAGGAATTTTTTCCAAAATATTGTCTATACTGGGGCATAGTTATATGCTAATGGAACAACTACATACAAAACTCTATCATAGTTTCTTGTAGTTTAATTTGCATTGTGTTTTGAGAAAAATAAGATTCAAATGAAAAAAATATATATGAGTATCAGCTAAAAAACAAAATAAAAACATATATGCCTAAAAACCTTGGGTAAACACAATCATGAAAGAGTAGTCTGATTAAAAGCTTATGTGACAAGAAAACTCAACCCTATGAGTAAACTAAATTTTAGTATTAACCAACTATAGTAGTAGGTTGTATAATTACTGGAAGCAAAGAAATCAGTATATCAAAAACGAAAAGTGGCCAGGAAATGGTACATTAATTTAGGGGAATATTATTAACGATATAACTTATGTTCATACCTCAAGCTGTTGAGATCGCTTTCTATCATCTTTGAAAGACAAATCTTGAGGAGACATCCTTACAAGTCGATCTGGAGGTATTATTCCTTTTAAAACCTTTCGAAATAAGATCTGAAACAAAAAAGAAAAATAATTACGAAAAATAATCAAAAATTTTAAGGGAAAAAATATTTCTATCATGGGTGTAATGAATAATATTTCTATATTGAAGTTACTTCAAGTACATGAGAGCAGCAAGCTAATGACAAAATGACCTACAAAAGTCAAATATATCGTAACTAAAATAACTGCTAAAAACTAATAAGACAAAATCAATAACGAGCATCACAATTCCAGGCACTTTTTCTTTTTAAATTACTTACTAAACAAATGATAGTAGATTATAAGAAACTTGGCAAACAATGTAAGAAAGTATATTTACTATAAAAAAACAACTCAAATTACCTTCAAAGTGTGTGCCATACAATAACAGCATCAATAAAGTTAAAAAAAAAAATCTAATTGATATGTAACAAAGTAGTATCTATCTCAAACAAGCTAACTATAATGCATTCATAATCAAGGCACAACAACAAACCTTATTTTTTGGGTCCTTGAAATTGATTATCAACACACAATACACATTCCTATACTTCACAATATTTTCTTTGTGTAGTTTGTAAAGCTCCTTCTCTATATGAAGGGTGATGCTTTTCAATTCATCAGATGTAAGAAGAATATCATCTGCATTCTTGAGCCTGGGTAAAAATAGAAAATATTCTTGTTTCAAATTCTTCCTAAAAGAAGTTACACAAAATAAATATTTAGTGTCAATACACAGAACACTTTGAAGTACATGAAAACAAGATGCAATATTTAATCATGAAAGCTACAAGGAAAATTAAGACTTATGCAAATGAATTGATTGCCATAAGACATCCTTTGTTTTTATCATTGAGAGTATACCACTTGTAAGTTTAATAGTACCATATCAGAAGTACAAATATACCTGCCCACACAGCTACAAACAAGAGTACTCAAAATATTATAAACATGAAGAAAAAGAATTTTGTTAATGTTCTCAAAGTATTACAATCTGGAATAAAAAAAAACCTATATGAGTTTAAAGAGGCATATACCAATTTGAATAGTTAATTCAGATAGTTGCACATAGTTACACAATGGCTATCTGCACTAGTCAGTCCTAATTTTGAACTGATACTCTAGAAGAAAGGCAGACAGTCAACTGCACTGATTGCTAATTCTTAAGCTACTCTAATCAAATAATAGTATTTGACTGTCATTTTTATACCTCACCCATGGCCTAAAAGTGGGAGCAAACTTCTTTGCAATGGGATGCAAACCATGGATCTTCAGTTCCATAGTCCAGACACACTAACTACTATGCCATGTTTTTGAGAGAGAAAAAGAATGAATCTTGTGTAGAAATACATCAAGAGGTCACTTTACAAAAGTATTAAATCTAACTTTATACAATACCAAACAAACATACTAGAACCACTGTAATAAATATTAATCCCTGTATTGTACCATGATGGCAGTTGGAAACTGATAGTTTTTATCACCCTAACTAGAAAAGAGTATATATTCAAGAACAATTTTTTTTAATCATTTTGTGTGCAGTTATTTAACAATCTTGTGAACTGGATGTAAGCAGTCATAAACTTACATTAATTCTTGCTTCTAGCTGAGGTTATCTACCATAGTGGCCATTCCAGAATATTGAGGAATATTTGTCCAAAATCATTTTGTGTGCAGTTATTTAACAATCTTGTAAACTGGATGTAAGCAGTCATAAACTTTTATTAATCCTCTCTTCTGGCTAAGATACGTACCATAGTGGCTATCTCGTAGGGTTCCAGAATGAAAAATTAGAAAATCTAAATGCAGAAACTTATTTCAAGTGAGCTCTTACATGTCCATGTCTATTTTAATGTAGATCTGTAGATCCAGTTTTGATGGTCCCTAAAACTTTTCTTGTCCCCACAAGAGGCTCAATTCGAAATTTCCAAAAACTTAATTTACATAGGTGTTTTAAACAGATTTTCATTTTCAATTGAATCTGATGGTCTCCAAAACCCTATTTTTAGGTTCCCTCATAGACATTTCCATAAACTTTTTTCTCTGTTTATATTCTGAGAGGGGAAATATCAAAATCATATATGCAAAATTTCAAGTAATTTTATCAAAAACAGTAAAAGTTCAAAAATCAAGTAAACAAAAATACATACAGATAAGGAGAATTAGGTCATGTTTTTATTTCTAGTGTTTAACAAGGGTATTTTTCAAATATTTTTAATAGTCACTGAATCTACAGTTTATTTCATATAAATGGTCTTGTAACACTATCCCTAAAAGGTATGCAACGGTCTCTAAAGTGGTACACACTCGTGCATGCATGTTTCTATAGCTGATAACTATGGGTAATTCACATAACTCTGAACTTCGTAGTGGTACTTTGTGCTTTTTATTACCTGCTAGTTAAGACATCCTTTAAGGCTCTTCTAACATTCAAGCGAAGTTGATTAAAATCCAAATTTATTGAATCTTCTTTTTCTTCAGTTTTCTGTTCATTTTTTGATGAGCTTTGTTCTAAAAAAAATCATATAGTGTGATTTAGAACCTACAATCCATAATAGATGTCACAATGAGCAGATTTCAACTTTCACCCAACAAAAATACCTTCTACAATAACTTACAATGTTAAGTGTTATGACATTTCAGAGTAAATTTAAAAAACACAAATATGAAGAAACCCCAAAACTCTAATACAGTGTTTGTATACATGTAAATTTTCCTACATTTTAAAGCCAAACAATATGGTTATGTAACGTTTAATTCCTATTGCCATATATTACCTATTCTTTATAAAAACTGATGTCTATTCAAGCAATTTTATAATAGTTTGTCTTAAGGATGCATTTTTTGGCTTCAACATCGTGTGTATAATGTTTACCAAATATACACCCACAATCAATGGCACTTGAAAATTTTCAAAGACTGGAATGGGGCCCTCAGGACTTTAATAAATATCGACAATAAACACTGCCAATACATATAAAATCAGTTTTTCACGGTATTGTACTAGAAAAAAATAAAGTTGGCTGCACTCAGAATACACTTGTCTAAATATATAGGGTACTAGAAATGGTATAATGCTGAGAATAATTTGTATGGCAGGGTTAACTTCTTTGATTTCTTTTAACTCTCTCAGCATGGGCTTGGTCCCAGGGACCAACCTCGTAACCATTTTTTGCTTGTTATAGTTTTCATGCTATAACTTTTAAATTAGTATGCGTATCCTCACAAAGGTTTGCAGGTTATCAGTAAATGGATTTTTTATTAAGCTTTAAGATTCCTCAAGTAATGTTTTTCTCACAACTTTTTTCTTTTTGAATGTTGACTATTGAACATGCAAAGGAATTTTGATTTTAAGATTAAAAATACTTTTACCACAAAATTTTCAAATTTCACATGTGAAATCTTTATAACCTCCAGATAATTATCAAGCATTTTTCAGAAAAAACTTTATATTATATTATATTCTATCTGTTATTTTCACTATTGTATCTCAGTATGGATTTGGTCAATTTGACTGACCTTGTAACCACCATAAAGAAATTAGGAAATAAATATAAAATATAATTACTACAAATTATAACATAAAAACACAAATGTTTAGTCCATATAGCTTAAATATCATAACATTACATATCTATATATATTTATTATTTTTATTATATTGTCCTTTCAGCTGTGCATGGTTAACATTCCAGAATTTGCAATAGTGTGGTGCTCATGCACTCATGTTACCATATCCAAGAATTTAAAAATGGCCTTTACTGTCTTGGTTGTGTTTAGTGGACTAGTATTTTGTAAAATACAGTTACATTTCAGTTATAATACATTATATATGTATATACATTATTACTATTTAAAAATTTAAACTTATTTTACTTAAAACATAGAACGGTAAATAAAGAAGTATAGCAAACAATTATCTCTTCTAGTTACAAGTTTTGAACTCGTTTGTTGTTTGCCATAGGTTGCTAAGCCTTATCAAATTTCGGATGTGGAGGACGTGAAACGAAATAATTTTTTTTAGGTTTTATATATATATTTTGGAATAACCAAAACTCATAAATTATTATACCAATACCACAGCATTCCACTATAGTTTATCAAGCTTAGTAATTAAGCTGTATTTGGGTCTAAAAAAATATGAAATTTCGAGCTTATTAATGTCTTACCTCATCACTTGGAATCTAGAATGAAAAGAAAGAGTTTGCTGTGCAAATAATTTGCAGTGGCTGAGAAAGCCACTAGGGGACAATCTGAGCTTTCAATTCATTATACACATGTCATTGGGCAAAGTAGGTGTATGTGAGAAAATATTTTCAAAAAATGGAAGAGGTGGGCAGGGCCACCTTGATTGATTTAATAAATATATTAATATCTCAGAAAACAGAAAAGATAGGAGGGTCTTATTTTATATTTTAGCTTGTCAATATCGATAATTTTGGTATCTAATTCGTTAGAAACTATAGACTTTGTATTTGAACATCACAAACATGTAATTTCAACCAATGCTGCATTCAACATACCACGTGACACACAAAAATTAATATTTAGGATTTTTCTTTTAAATTTACTTTTCAATTAAAATATTAACTAATGTATAATACTAAAATCTGAATTATAATCTACAATTTGATACCAAAGTTAATGAAATACATTCATAAAATAGTAGTTAAATAACATTTTGAATTTGAGTCAACAAATGCGACGACATGACCTTTGACCCTTGTCAGTAGGGTTAAAAGGGCAAATAACATTCTGTGTTAGTGAAAAATGTTGTTAATCATGTTCATATCTAATGGTACATTTCCATCTAATACAATAATGCCCCAGTCCATCATATCTGTATAGCCCAAAAGTGGTTTGAAGAGCACAGTGATGTACCCACCACTTTCTTGGTTGACAAAATCACTAGATTTCAATCTAATTGAGCATTTTTTGAGAGATGCACTTGAATGAGGCATTTGCCACTGTAATCTTCTTACAATATTTATAAATCAAAGCAAAACAAAATCCTGAATGAATGGACTGCAACTGAGCTAATCACTTTCAAGCATCTTGTGAACTCTATGCCACACTGAGTTCAACTATTAATACGGTAAAATGTAGTCCAACCCAATACTGAATAAAGTAGCCAGTCATTGTATAAATAATAACCTTTCTCATTATAATAGATTATTTCTTCAGAGATTTAAAAATATCAATTATTTACATTTTTTCCCTGTCATTAAGAAAAAATACCTAGAGCTCTTAAATACTTTACATACCTTCTTTCTTCACTTTCAGCTGTTTTTCTTCTTGCTCTTCAAGTTTACAAACATTATCTTTTGTTGTCTTTTTCTTTTTTCCAAGGTTTTCTGGATCTTCACCTTCTTTCTGATCATTAATAATTTCTTTATGTTTCTTAAACTTTTTAAATTTGTGAATAGCCAGCTTTTCTCCTTTTTGATGTTTATCTTTGAAATAGGTTTCTTTGTCTTTCTGAAATTCTTGTTCTCTAGAAACTTCTGTATGTAGTCTTTTATTACTTGCAAGAGTAACATCTATTTTTTCTAATAACACCTGGATATGACAGTTGGCCAAGTTCTCAATTTTTTTCTGTTCACTTTCATCAGTTTGCATTTTTACTGAATTTTTGACTGAATAGCCATTTTTGCTTCCATTTCCCTGCTTTGAAGCTAAACAAACTTCTACTCTTTTACTATTATTACATATTTGTTCTTTCTGATGAAAACTATGAACTGACAATGATTGTTTATTATCACAGGTGTTTCTGAGTTCTTCCCCCTTTTTTATATTATCATTTTTTCTTTCACTTACAGTTTTCATTTGTTTCTGTAACTTAATCTTTTTAGGTTCTTGTGACTGTACATCTTCACTTGATTCAGTACACTGAGAGTTACTGCAGCTTAAAGATTCACTTTTTCTCCAATCATCTCTAGAATCTAACAACTTTTTTTTAAAGTGACCATTAGAGCTTTTAAATTTCAGTCTTTTCCTTTGCTTAATCTTTATTTGCTGTGGCATTTTTTTCACTTCACTGTGTGAATCTTTACTTGATGATTTATTTTGCTTGTATTTAAAGTGATCAAATTCTGTGTTTAATTCTGTGTATGATCTTGCTTTGTGAAGTTTTTTGCCTGCAAGCAAAATTCTTTGTCTCAATTTGTTTTTTGCAACGATGTTTTTATTTGTTTTAGATATATTCTTCATAGGTCTACCTTTTTTCTTTGGAGCAAAGCTTGAATCCTTGGCTGAAATTTTTTTCCTGCTTACTCTAGACGTACTATTTATTTTTGATTGTAAAACCGTATTGTTCTTACTGCATATTTTCTTTCTGGAACTGCTGTGAATCTTATTTTCATTTTTTGACTTTTTATTTAATTTTTGAACATTTTCTTCTTCTTCAAATGTATGAATCATTTTATAACTGGAATTCTTGCCCTTTGAATTTTTGCCTTTATTTGGGATTGAGGTAACTTTTTTCTTTGACTCTTTTGCCTGGTTTGCAGTTTTGCCCTTCTTTCCTGATGAATGCCTAGAATCAACTGGCTCAATATCTGAGGCCTGTGAGTTGACAGGAATGACACTTATATTGATATTTTTACTATCACTAATATCATCACAGTCCATCCTGGCTTGTTCAGCCAAAGCTTTCTGCTTCTCCATCTCTTCTTTTTCTTGTCGTTGTAATTCAGCATTTTCTGCTCTTATTTTTTCAACAAGAGCACGATCAATTTTATCTATTTGTCTCTGTGACCTTCGTAGAGGTGTTGAACGTTTAGATTTTTTATGGCTAGTCTTCTCTGTAATACTATCATTATCAAGATCTTCCTCCTCTCCTTCTCCTTGTGTTTCCCTTAGAAAAAAGGAACAAAATATTAAGAATAATTATCTTTTATATTCTAAAAAAATAACTTACATGAGTGAAGATCAAGTTATTAAATTTACTGATATACACACACATAAAAAACAACAGAAACATACTAATGGAATAATTTAAGCATTTATATATATATTTATATATACCACATTTAAAAAAATAGCTTATAAGATTTGAGATCAATATGTATGTGTACATTTTTACTTCCTAACACTACGTTGGCTAAATCTTACAAAGACTACAACTTTCTCCGCTAAGTGCTTCTATTAAAAAGGGCATTTAGAGATAACAAAAATAAATGTAAGTATGAATTAGACAAAAATAATTACCCAAAAAGAGATATCTTGAAATAAATATTAAAAATGAAATACACAGAATGTATGTTAGTTTTTGGAATTTCATGCAAACCTTCTCAAGGGCTATCTGTGCTAGCCTTCCCTAATGTAGAAGTGATAGACTAAAGGCAAGGGAGATAGTCAATAACACCCACCACCAACTCTTGGACTACTTTTTCACCAATAAAAAGTAAGATTAACTGTGACATTGTAATACCCATTATAGCTGATACGGCAAGCAGATACGTGGACGGGATTCGACTCGCAACCCACAGATTGCAATTCAAACATCCTAATTACCAGACATATAATTAAGGTTTTATCTTTTTTAGCTTTTGGTGTACCACATTATAAATGACCAACTCTGGAAAAGTCATTTTGGACAACTGTAATTATGTTATTCTTTATTTGTACATCAATGTCATTTGTTACATAAAAAAGTAACTTAAAGTTACACACTAGTTTTTAAAATATATTACATATATATTTAAGTGAAAATACATACAGCAGGTTAAAAATACTTCAATACATAATTTTTTAGGATGTATTATTGACACAAAATTGTTTACTTATAGTTTTCATTAAACAAAAAAATTTAATAACTTAGTCAAAACAAAAAGGCCTTTTGCTGATTGGATTTCTCAGTCACCTGTCTGCTTTTTTAATATGTGCTTTCCCTTTCAAAATATATTGAATATAACAATATAAAGTCATTGTTTGATATTTAAAAAAAAGTAAAATAAAAAATAACAATAAATTTCACAAGAAAACGATTTTGCAAAATCAATGGGGTTAAAGACATACTGTCATCAATTACCTAAAAGTAAAAAGAAAAGACAGAGTAGAAGGAGTTATGTGTTAATTATATATAGGTTCCAACAGAAAGATTTCACCTCAAGTAGGTACAATAAGTTGAGTTTTTAAAGGCATTATATAAAGGATGAAATATGAAAACAGATAAAAACTTTCTTTAGAAAATCTATCTGCCTGTGGTTAATAATGCTTGTGTTAAAATTATGATTCTCGAGCTGGATGCAAGCTAATTTTGTTTCTACTTCATAAAAATGGTTAACTTTCTATTTTTGTCTTAATGATATATCTTGCAACACACAAAAAAAGTTATATAGTTACCATAATATGTTAATGCTTATTTTCAAGTTAATTAGACAATGAGTCCAGACTTGTGCCTAAAGTTTATTTCATTGCACTGTATGAAAAAACAGCTAGCTCATTAGTCCAATATCAGCTAGCATATCAGACTGTGGTTTAACCCTGGTGGCTAATTCATGAGTTATTGATGATGGCTCAACAAAAGTAATGGTGGATAATAATGTTATGTCAAGTGATACAATAATCAAGAAGAGCTGAAATAAGTGGAATTGCTGTGTATCTGGATGAAATAGTTCACATTCAAAAGACTCTTCCCAAAGACAATTTTATATGGAACCATAAAAAAGAAGTGAATATAAACAAACATATAGGATAAGTTCTTTGATGTAGGCTAGTGTCTGAGATTTTGGCATAATATTCACTTTCCATACCATTCTTACTTAAGTATTATTATCATAAAAACATTCTGTATAAAGGTTCAAGCTAAGCATAAGCCAATCGTGAAGAACAAAAAGCATTCTGTGAAATTAGACACTTTTATGAAGTATATTTTCGAAATTTAAAAACTTGATAAACTTTATGTATCTTCTTGGTTACAATTATATGTTCTATCAGAAACCTTTGTGACTTACAATAGAACATATTAAAATATTAATAAATACAAAAAGTAACTGTTGTTTACAACTATAAAAAAACAACAAAGATTGACAAGGCAAGCACATTAAGTTAAAAGTATTCAGGTTTCAAATTATTTAACCTTCTTTGCTCTTTATAAATGTCTTATGCTCAGCATGTATCTTTACACAATGTATTTTTAATGAGATTTCACTTGTTTTTTCAATCCTGTTTTGTACAATAACATAGATGTGTTTAGGAACATATTTCAAAATTCACTCCTGGATCAATTATGTTACTTCTTAATTATTTTATCACACTAGACTTATATTAGACAGCCACCTTTCTAAATAAACCAACTGCAACTATATTACATTATAAAAGCTAATAGTTCATTTTAAGTTAAGCATTATTTTGAAACCATGCTCTGTCTTTATTTTCCACTTATAATATCTGTAAAATTATAACAGTTAGTTGTTCACTCTCATTTATTTCTTATCTGAAGCAAAATCTTAACTTTAACGAGTACTTATTGTTTATTCCAGAATCCTGACATAACTAACATGATTACTCTCAAATACATTCAATAACAAACTTTGTCTTAGCTAAGAATACTAGATGAACAGTTTAATTTGAGTTTATTTACCAATGATAAATACTTTTACAACTTACAGCTTTTATGGCAAGCAAGAATTTTTATCTAAACAGACATGTTTCAATTGGTGGTTTGTCTGTTCTCCACTACACAAGATTTAACAGAAAAGAAGGTATTTTTTATTTACATCAACATTTAACATTATAACAGTGAGTGAACAATGTATTTAACTTAGATAATCAATAATGGTTACTTAATTGTATGGATACCAATACATATGAATTGAAAGATTATTTATTCACAGCTGAAAAAAAACACTAAATGAATTTATATATGTTGAAGATATTGAAAGAAAATTTTGGGTAAGATAAGATCATCTGAGGAAATAATAAAAACACATAGAAAGTTGTGTCTGGGTGGTTTTTTGGTTGCGGGATTCGTTAACTTTATTAATAAGACTTTTCTGATTTTTCTACTGTTAATGTCAGGTTCATGTTTTAGTATGGTGACATCCGGTTTGGAAAAATTTTGGTTGTTTTTTTTTCATATGCTTGTGGACATAGGAAGGGTATTTTTAATGTTCTTTTAACCTATTGTTCAAATTGCATCCTCTTTCACCTGTGTAAAACACTGGACAATTAGTACATTGAATTTTGTAAATGTTTCCCAGCAATGTGGGTTTATTATATAGTTTTTTAACATGTTTTTAATTTTCATTCCTAGATTGAAAGTAGTAATTATGTTAAGGTTATATTTACATTAAAAGTTTTTCCAAAATTTCTGTTAGAGGTATGTTAATGTTTTCTATATATGGAATAGTGCCAATAATTGGGTTTCTTTCTTTATTAAACATGTTTTGTCAATGATATTTGGAGTGCATAAAGGGTATGTTAAATTTAGAAGGATTTTTAGAGCGCCTAGTTTCTTATGGATTATGCAATTAGAAAACTAGTTTATGTTTTTTTCCACTGTATGCGATTTTTCTATGAATTTTAGAGGAGAAGCCTTGAGGAAGCTCATGTGATGCTAATGTTTAAAAAAATTATTGTGTAGTTATTTTCATTTTCAGTATGTTGTTTATGTGCTGAAGTAATTTGTTTGTGTAACTTGGTAACTGCAAAAAACATTTCTGTATGTTTCACAGTGACTTTGATTACATTATGAATTCTAAGATAACCCCCAAAAATCTTATTCCAGTTTTAAAAGCTTTCAGTGCCAATGTTTGTAGTGTTTGTTTTGGACATGGTGACATTTATGAATTACTAATATTTATGAATACGAATGTAGAAGTGGCCATTATATTACTACTGGGCTGGTTTGTTTGTTTTGTATATTTAAATGAGCCAATTCTGAAATTGGATTTAGATTTGCATAATCTTAAGTTCTACATGTTCATCTTCCATAAAAAAAGCATACTCATGGTTACATTTTCCACTATAAATGTGCATGTTGCTGCTGTTTATTTCATGTTTTTTAATGTGTTAGTGTTTTCCTGCAAGAAGAATGGAAAACATTACAGTTTAAATAAAGTCTTTTAATTTTTTAATTCCAAACATTCTACTATTTTGTTGAATTCTGGATATTTCTAAGGCCAGTCTTCCATTTCATGCTCAATTCTGAGCAAATTGACAGTTATCCATTTGTAAGTCTATATATATATATATATGATATTGTGACATTTCTGCTGCTTTTAGTTTGTTAATCTAATATCATTTTTAGAACTACAAACCCAAGGGCCTGCGGCCCACATTTACAGGAATACTATAATGCAAATGTAATGCTTAAACTACTATTTTGTACTTTTTCAGTTTAATGGTTATTGCTGCTATAATTCATATTTAATTTCTTTAACCATGTGACGAACGGTAATTAGTAGACCTACCTATATACATGCCGTAATGTAAATCAATGCAAAATTTGGGGTCTGCTTTCAGAGAATCCCCATAAGTGTTTTTGCAAAATATCCAGGTTCCCTAAGGGGTTGGGTGAAAAGTTTTAACTTTGTGCAAATCATGGGGCTGAGACAAATAGTTTGGCACCATTTAGGAGTTGGTGAGACCAGCAGTTTAGGAGAAGGGTTTTTTGGAAAATCCCCAGGTTCCCTAAGGAATGGGATGAAAAATTACCTCGGGACTGAGGTAATTCATTTGGTACAACTTAGAAGTTGATGCGACTAGCTGTTTAGGAGTTATGTAACACCGACACTGAATCTTATTTTATATAGATGTTTTCTACTAAGAATACTTTAAGATCTAACAATTTTGTTGTTTTTCTCTTGTGAATATGTGTCTATCTGTACATGATTCCCAGTCTGAAGTTTTGTTTTTTATAAACAAACACAGAATAGTTCTTAAGTATACAAGTTAAAATTACAATATCATTATCAAAGTCAGCTATTCCATAAAAAGTTAGTTTTGCAGAGCTTCTGGTTTGTCTGTTGGATATCAGTGTACATGAATACCTCATTATCAACTAATCTTGTTTAAATTTTTCTCTTAAGGATTCTATCTAATCATTATTTACATTTAAATAATGCCTCATGATCAACACAATTTCTAACAAAAACTTCTAAAAATCATAATACTTACATATGGTCTGACTTCCAAAAGTGTTTTGTGAAATCTGTTGCCAACATTGAATAGCTATGATCTATCATCACTTTGCCTATTTCTTCTGGCTCGAGTTCATTACCAACATCATGCAAAATTTCAGATGCCATTCCAACAACAAAATCATCATTAGGTTCAAACATTCCATTATTTGATGCTTCTTGCAAAACCTGGAAAAAGGATTTAGATCATTAATAAAGTAAATAAGAAAAAGAAAGGAAATAGGACCCTTAAATAGAGTGAAAGCCATGGAGTACCCTCATGTATCATTTATAAAGCAAGAAGATAGTCTAGGAAAGATGGCATAATCTTCTTGATTTATCAATAGACACTAAAATACAAATACGCATAATACTACCTACATATAAAGTTCAACAAAGAATTGTTATGCAATGTATATACATAAATAGTGAAAACACTTTTGATTGCTGTTCCGAATCTTATGAAAACAAGGACCAAAATCAGCTATGGGAAAGTGACAAGTTTTTACAATGATGGTCTAGGCTTTCAATATTACTGTTTGTTCTTAATGGGTACTATAAATACCCATTCCTAGAGAATGAGAAGACTTAAATATTCCCTAATAAAAATAATTATGGATGTTATAAGCATAGTTCAAGAAAATGATCAACAATAACAACACAGAATAAACAATGATTTTAAAATATCATTGTTGAAAATACCTTGTACCTAGATAAATTTGAGTTTGAATGATTGCTGACTTTTTGAATTAACTCATTACAAATTGCTGTTCTTATTATGTACAACTTCCATTCCATTTGAATAATTGTATAAAAGTAAAGATGAAAAATAAAAATACATTACTGAAATTTGTCAATTCTGCTTATAAATGTCAGCTTATAATCTCACTTACTAAATGCTCCAGATCCTCAAAACCATTGTCAACCTGTGCTGTCTCAGGTGGCTGAGCATGTGGAAGGTCTGTAGTAATGGTTTCTTCTGAAAACACAAAAGAATGACAATATGTCAGTCTATTCCACTTTGAAAAATTACACAAACATAGTTGTTTTAGGTAAACTAGACTATCAGTTCAACAAAGTTGTTGAACTTCAAGTCAAATGAGTAAAAAATCCTAAGAACCAAAACATATTAATAGTAACATAAACACTGGTGTGTGACTCTTGTTATACAAAACTGAAGTAATAACATCAAACAAACACAAATTTAAGGTATACAAAAACTGAATTTAACACATTTTACATGGAAAACTTTTGTTCTGACACATTAAAAGTGCCAAGCACCTTGTAAACAAAAGACTGATAACTTCCTTTCTAAGCATGTAATTGATATGAATTGCTCATATAAAATGTTTTTCAGTATTTTTCCGTTATATCCCCACAACTGTTACTGTTAAGCCTAACATTTAAGAACCAATTATGTTAGTTTTTATCACTAGTTTGTCTTCACACTAAAGTAATAAAGTTTATCTTTAATTATATAGAACTTAGAAAGAGAGCTTTATCCCGAGTGACAATAATTAGTCTTTGATGTATACACAATGTTAGTAATACAATGTATTTAGCCTGATTTATATTATAACTTACCTATAACTATAGGCTGAATCTAAACTAATGGATCTAAGTTCAAGTAAACAAGTTAATCCTTAAAACACAAAGAGAGAATAAACAAGTTCTTAGATTGTATTTATTTAATAAAATGATGTATTTAACCTGTTTTACAATTTACTTTAGCGTGAAGACAAACTAGTGATATAAAAACTAATATAATTAGTTCTTAAACGTTAGGCTTAACAGTAACAGTTCCAGGGGTATAATGGAAAAGTACCTGCTTTTCTGACATTTATAAGCCATCATAAAGAAAACCTTACAATAACAAAACACGTATTATGGCAATTATATATAATCTTTTTCAGTGAAAAAAAAAAACTTTTTGTTATTAGTATGTCATTTTTTTCACTCACTGTGAGACCAGTGATAGTCACACACATGCTTTAAATGGCATGTAAAATTTAAAAAAAAATTATAATGAAAACAGAGCTATTTTCTCAAACATAAATTTTTACCTAACATGTTTAAAACTTGGCATTACTTTAACTATCCACAAAGCTCTTTTTAAAATGATGTCAAGCATTTGAATAATAAATTTTGGAAGAAAATTTTGTTGATGGCATGCACAAACATTTCCATGCATGACTGCATCACATGCTAGAACAGTGTGAATATTTAACTACCTGTAAAAGAATAATTTGAGAGCAGCAATTTACATGAAATATTCTACAAAATACCGGCACCTTGGTTCACGTAACACAAAATATAAACACTATGCTGTATTTTAATCACATTATTTACACAGTTCTTCAATAAAATTAATGGCCAGTTTCCAATTTGCACATCCACAGTTACCATCAGATTGTTATTAACCATAACTTTTAATTATCATTATGGTTAGCAATATGGCAGGGATTCATTTATGGTTTACTAGATCCAATGTTTGACCACTTCAAATTTATCATTGAAATAACAATATTTTTAAGCAACAATTTTTGAAACTAAAAATTCTTTATCACTAAGCACAGCAATGCCTAGTATGTAGGGATGGGCTGAGAAAAAAATGGTTGCCGCATTCAATCTATTACTCTACGATGCTTACAAATAACTTCTGAAGTTGAGTTATAGTCTAATTTGAGCAATTAATTGCCATTATCGAGTGTTTCACAGCTTGTGAGACTCCCAGTATCAATGAAAATGTTGCTAAAGTGGAAAACTGGGAACTAGCTCAAAAGCCAAAGTGTTCATCTTTCGTTTTTCTCTTCCCACACTAGCCAAAGGATGTGTGAAGTTTTTCCAATGGCTTTAGTATGACAGAAAAGCATTTTAAGTAGTACTTAGTTTAAGCTATCAAAAAAAAAAAAAAAATTCTAGTGTAAATAATGTTATCATTACCCCTTGAAGTTAGCTATTTTACAGAAATATGGTGTTTCTTTAAAAGGCTTAAGCATAGGTTGAAACAGAATTACCAACCAATAATAGGTGAGCATGAAATGACTGTAACATTTAGAATACTCAATGCTTTTTACACTATACAATTGGTGTCTTTAGGGAGCCAACACACACTAACCTCGAAATAACGTCTTCCCTGCATTATTTGTATTTTTAAGAATTTCAAACAAACTAGTTTCTCATTAAGGAGAAGCATATCAGCAAGAGCTTATGAGAGTTTTAGCATTTTGAATTACTCCTGGTTCTTTTTCAGCAAGTAATGTTTGTCCTTCTGCCTTGTCTACTTCTAAGTCATGGCAGTTACTTCTACTCGCTCCTTTCAGCCTCACCAAGTGGCCAAATGAAGGATTAGACAAGGTGGGCCTTTTCAACTCACTCAACTTACTCAGAATTTTCCACTACCCCACATTTCACATGACTTATTGTGCATGGGTCAGGAAAATGGACATAGGTTTTGCTTTCCCACAATAATCCAAATTTCTTAGTTTAGGTCATGAAGAAAAACTACATATCACCTGGTTATCGAGAGGTGGGTGGGAATGTATTTCAGAGGTAAGTATCTTTTTTAAATTCATTTTAATTCTAAAAACCTAAAATTCAAATTAGCTAGCCTTATCTATGAAATACTAAAAGCCAGCATATCCACACTGAGATGGAGGAGCAAAATGGAAACTAAGAAGGACCACTGGTTCAACAAAACTGGTCTTTTACGTACAAAGATAAAAACCTGGACTACAACAATAAAAAAGTGTGATAAAGCAGAATAAGAGTAGAATTCAAAACCAGAGTAAAAGCAATGAATTGGATTCATGGGAGAAATGAGCGGATTCTCCCAGCCTCATAAAAGACTAAACCAAAAAGAAGACTATTTTTCTCAACAGTATAACTCATTCCCATAGACACCATTTAAATAATACATAAAGGAGGTATTGTGGTTTGTAAGTACCTGTTGAGCCATACACCTTTTTCGGTGTGGTTACAGGTAGTTTCATAACAGATATGCAGGATCATCATGCAATGTACTATCCATTTATACCAAGCTCCAAGTGAAAGATACTCAGTAGAGACGACCAGTAATGACTGAATAATTTCCTGGGGCTAAGACCCATATCCTTATAAAGAAAAGCTGTCCAATTCACAAAACTAGGTTTTAGGTCACAGAAGAGAGAACCAATAATAACTAATGACTGGAAGTGCTCCTGAGGTTCAGGCTCCCCTACACTATTATCTAAAAAGCCTGGCCAAGTCATAAAACAAGCCTAGTAATTGACCATGAAGTAGAATCGATAAGACCCAGGCAGACCCAAAGATTAGCTCAACAGCTCCAGGACAGTGTAATGGAAACACCAAATAATGTTAACAAAAAAACAAAAATCAAGCTTAAATGTAAAACATATTCTTGTTGGAGCTATAAGACATCATATGGAGAAAGAGTGTTTTATCCCCAATGTGTCAAATGCTATGAAAAAAGATGTACACGGAGATGAAAAAAGATATCCACTAAGGCATCATCAACCACAGATAGCATTCTCTGTTCCTATGCACAAGAGACAGGCTGCATGAGTGAGTAGTTGGAGAATTTCAAATACTGGAAGAAACATTTTCAGCACAAAACATTGCCTTCAGAATACACAGCAACCAAAGTTAATAGCGCAACTGTTAACATCAATATCTGATAATGAATGGAAAGCATAATTTATAATGTATAATTCATAATGTATACACATTATGTCATATGGTAGGTGGAAGAGTGGGAAACTCTGGTTAAGTTGACAAATGCTCTATATGTGTCAAGAACATTCAGAGCCTAAAGTCACATCACTGTTCATGGGAAAGTTTTTTTTATTTATTTTTGATTTATATATGTTGTAATAACACATGAAAAAATATATTTTGCAAGTTCTCATTAAAGGCCTTTTAAACAGTTAACTTTTCACATTACACATGTTCAGTAAACATATGTATAAAAAAGAAGAGTATAAAACTTCTTGCAGAAATAGGTTTAGTTAAAATTATCTCCATACATTATGAATGCATAGCTCTAATTATGTAGACTTAAAATTAACATTTGACATACCAACTTAGTTTTAGGTAAAAATTAAATTTCAATATCACACAAATTACTAACTTGGTGAATCAAAGTCTTCTGGCTTATTAACATGATCTGTAACTAACTGTTGATGAAGAATCTCTAATAGGTCATCAAGCTTCACATCTTTCTCTCCACCAAGATGATGATGGAGTGCCTCTTGAAGGAGAGATTTTACTTGTTCAACTGATAACACAGAATCATCCGAATCTTTCTCAGCCTCAGGCTCTTCACAGGGAATGCTCTCTTGTTGGTTTCTCTCACATTCCATGTCCTGAACAGAATTTTATATATTTTAAAACTAAGTTACATTACAAGTAAAATCATGTAAATGTAAACACACATCTCGTACTTAAGTACTACCAAGTGTAAGGAATAAAGATTCTTACAAGTAAGGATAATAAAAATAAGATGTTTGTGTGTAAAGACATGTATGTAAAACACAAGACCATAATAAAGATTAAACAGCTTTCATATAAATTACTATTCTTTAAATATAAATGTAGACGTTTATAATTTATGCATGTAGAATAAGCAAACAATAAATTCTCTTTGATTTACCTTGATTTTTATATTCATTTAATACCTGATATAATTGTTGTTTGTTTGTTTTTAAATAAAGTTTTGTACTTTATAAGCTTGTATCCTGAAATGTAAAAACAACAAGGGAAAAATTCATTTTACAAAAATGAAGATAAGAAATGTGATAAAGCATCACAAATAAGACAGAAATTTAAATATCAACTCTGAACTGGCCTAATATAAAGCTTTTAGTATGAAAGCTAGATACTCCCCTCACATTTCAATCATATTTCCTTCTGTATTCAAAATGTTCGTAAACATTTGATTTTTATACAAAGAGATTTTAATCAACTTTAAAAGGGTAGAATAAATCTTTCCATATCACTTGACAATTTCATGGAATCCTGCTGAACCAATAAAAGATTAATAAAAACTGTACAGAACCAACTGCAAAAAGAAACAGTTGGGAAAATTAAAGGAAAAAATCAAAACAATGCACAATAAAGTAAATATATCACAGCACAAGAAGACAAAAATTATGATTTCCTGCAGTCATGTCACAAAGACAGAAATACACAGAACCTGTTGAAATGTATGCAATTTTGTATCATCTTCCTGGATAAATTAGACCTCCAAACCAATTGTCACTGTGAAATTAGTTTAAAACATATGCTCCTGTAGCCATACTTTAAATCTGTCTCTTGTTTTCTGCTCAGAGGTTATTTTTAGGTAGCATTTCAAAAATTATTTACTAACAAGAAAAGGTCCAGATAAATATTCAACTGAAAATAAAATACAAAAGCCTGAATAACAACTAGTACACAGTTTTATTAGTACATAGTTTCACAAGGGATATGACCTTATTACATTTTCTGCTACAAATTATCTTATTGTGCAATTAAATTAATGGCTAGGTTATAATTCTTTTGCTACTTTTTGGTTTTACAAATGTCCCATATTTGTGTGAAATAAATCAAAATATTGATGTGCACATATTAAACTGTATCATGTCTGTTCCATTCCTCAAAATAATGATGTGTTGCTTTGTTTTTTAGTAGATATGTTAACCTTTGTTAGAAACACAGTAGCTAAGCCCCTACTGCTTAGGTTTTGGTATTACAGATTTTATGAAACATTATACCTGACAGAATGAAAATTTAATCCTAATTACTTTCTCTTTATATTTCATAAAATCAATATCTTTCCATAGCTACATGAGTAATCTGGATCTTAGCTGTAGAAATTATCATGGGGGGTGTCAAATACTTCTGTGATGAATGTAGGATAAAATATAACTCCCATAACTTTTGCAATACACAATAACTCTGGAGAATATGGTTGGTGGATTAATGAATAGGATTATACCTTTTATGGAAAGAAAATGCAGTTCTATAAAAAATAAAAATCCTTTAGACTAGAACAGATCAGGCAACAATTTAACAAGACTCTAAAAAAATAAATATTCCAAATTTTTTATGACTCAATATAAGCCCTCGGTTTCAACTAATTCTAAGTAACAAATTTTATAGCTTTACTTGGGAATCCCATTTATAAGAAGCAAACTTATATTTTAAACATACATATTTCAGGGCAAAAATGTTTTCTAAAGATAAGTTTTATTAGTTAATCTGAATATAAACAGCCATGGTCTAGAAGAAATAACTTGCTGAGTTCAGTTTCGAGGCAACCCTATTTTTACATGCCAGAGTTTAAAAATCCAAAAATCTAAAGTACTGCATTACTATCAAACAATGTTCTCAGAGGTGTGATGCTTTTGTAAGTTATCACAAACTAATATAATTTATTGACTGAACACTGCTTAGTAAAACTGAACTGATGGAAAGAATAAAGAGTGAGTTAAGTAATTTGCAAATGTGCTGGTCTAAGAGGGGGTATAATGCCTGCTTTGTAAAAGAGGCTGAGATTAGATCTTCAAAAATTTAAATTGTAAGGTGCATCAAGGGATTCTTCTCAGGGTCTATAAAAGGCTTCATTTCCAAAGTTAAATGAATGTCAATTGAGAATTTTTCAAACAATGAAAGAAAATGTGAGGTTTGGCATATGTAGAAATTTCTCTCTCTATGATACTCCTTGTGCAACATCATTCTTTCATATTAACTATTAAACATGAAAAGATCCAAAAATCTACGTGTCTCACTACTGCACATCTCATGCAACCAGGGTAACTGATTCATATACATTCAACAAAACAACACTAAAGTAAACTACTGCTGTGTATAATTATAATGATATTTTAATGGCTGGAGACGGCTTAAATGTGTAATGAAGAAATACTTTAATATA